TTTAAGCAACTTAGTAAGACCCTGTCTCATAATAAACAGGCTGGAGATACAGCTCACTGGTAAAGCACCCCTGGGTTCAATCCTCAGTACCAAAATAAATAAATAAATAGGGCCTGGAGTGGTGGAGCAGGCCTATAATCCCAACTACTAGGAAGGCAGAGGCAGGAAGATCGASTTCAAGGCCAGCCTCAACAATTTATTGACATCCTGTCTCAAAATGGAAAAGAAAAAGGCCTATGAATGTAGCTCAGTGGTAAAGTGCCCCTGTATTCAATCAAAAGAAAGAAGTAGGTCTAGGGGTGTAGCTTAGTGAGAACTTGCGTCACATGCATAAGGGTCCTGGGTTCAATTCCCAGCACCACAAAAATAAGTAAATAAGGAAAATGGGAGGAGGGTACAGCAAAAAGCAGTACAGGACTGGGGATGTAGCTCAGTTGGTAGAGTGCTTGCCTCACATGCACAAGGCACTCCCTAGCACCATAGCACCACACACACACACACACACAAAAAAAAAAAAGCAGCACAACCTGGAAGCCAGAAGATCTAGTTCTATAATTTCCCATTCAAGCCTAAAATGTAAAGTAAACATCTGTAACAATAAACAAAAACAAATCTCAAAAACAACTACAAAGAGAGTTGAAGAAGATATGACAAGATGTTTACAGTAATTGTCTGCAGATGCTAGAAGCAGAAATGATTCTACATTCTTCTCCCTAAAAGATCTTACAAATCTCTATGATAAAGAAGAATTATTTATATAATGGARTAAGAGACTTTTTTAAATCACATCTTACCAAACTTTTCTTTAGTCGCCACATATCCCCTCGGCCAATGTATTGATCCTTAAAAGTTAATTCCACTAGGTCAAGGGTCACATCCTAAAAGGAATAATCAAACATACCCCTCTGCATTACTTTGCCACACTTTATAATAATAAGATAATGCTCACTCATCATGAGAAAAACACTTTTGCAAGAAAGAAAATTATTGAAAGATCATCCTAAATAGCAGAATCCCGACAAACAGAATTTTATACACCAAAGATTGTTAAGTACAGACGATAAGTCTCCAACAGATCCTATAGCATTTATCACATTTAGTGAAGAGTAACAAAGTACTAATTTTGTGTTTTAGTCTGTTTGCTATTTTAGTTTGCTTGTGGTTTGTGTTTTTGAGACAGGGTCTCACTATGTTGCCCAGACTGGTCTTGAACTCACAGGCTCAAGTGATCCTCCCACCTTAGCCACCTGAGTAACCAGAACTATAGGTGCACACCATCATGCCCTGTGTTTAATCTTGAATTCTACCATACAAATATAACATTGAACTTTATTTTCCTATATGTCAATAATACCTTTCGACAATGTTTTTTTACCTATTACAGCATTTCAAGAAAAAAATTAGAAATAAAGAAATTTTAGTAATTTAACAGAGAATTACACATAAATCTTCACACATAGAATCATACTAGAACAAACTTTGGAAAGCATAGGGGGAATTTAAATGAAATCTAGATACCACCTGTAATCTTTATTTCTTTTTTGTGGGGGAGGGGGGTGCTAGGGATCAAACCCAGGGCCTCACGCATGCCAGGCAAGCGTTCTACCACTGAGCCACATCCCCAGCCCACCACCTATCATCTAAATGACCTATATATATAATCACATATTTAATTATCTAACACAATACTTAAGTAACTCATTATTTCTTTAATGACTTAGACTTGGAGAAAGGGTACTAATCATTCTAAAAAGATATTCAAGTCCAGAACACAGACATACTTTAGGGTCTACAACATTCACGTATACATCTTGATAAGGTCTTAGCCGGAACACTTGAGTCACAGTCTGGTCCACACTGATAGTTTCTGAAATAGAAAAAAAATCTGGATCAGAGAACACATTTTGAAAAAACAGGTAAACATATTCTAACCTATAAATATGGAGATATTAAAAAAGCAACACAACTGATAACCTGCCTTGGGCAAGACATGTTCTCTGCCTTCGAGGAACTTAAAAAGAAACAACATTGGGCTGGAGGTATAACTTAGTGGTAGAACATGTACTTAGCATACTGAACCCCTAAATTTAATCCCCAGCACACAAAAATAGCAATACAGCAAAATAAGAACGTTCAAAGACCTATTAGAAATTCATTTTTTTAAAAAAAAAGAGTTTTTCTTGTTCAGAATGAAGATAATAATGTAGTTCAGGAAGTTTTCAATGAGCCCTAAAGCTTGATAAGAAATATAACAGGTGGCAGAAGATGGGGTAAGGGTATGAAGGAAAGTCTTAAGAAGACACTCCAGGGGCTGGGGATGTGGYTCAAGTGGTAGCACGCTCGCCTAGCATGCAAGAGGCACTGGGTTCGATTCTCAGCACCACATAAAAATAAAATAAAGATATTATGTCCACCTAAAAAAAAACTAAAAAATAAATATTAAAAAAAAAAGAACAAGACACACCAGGGTTTTTTGTTTTGTTTTGTTTTTGTTTTTGTTCAGTGCTAGGGATCAAATTGAGGACCTTGCTTATAGTAGGTAAGTATTCCACCACTAACCTACATCCCTAGGCCAGAATTTTTTCCCATGAAATTTAAATATCAAATGGTTGAATATGAAAAGCTGATATCAAAGCCCTTTAGGAGAAATCACAAATCACAAGGGTGTTTTGGTTTGTTTCTTTGAAGTACTATTTAAAGAATTATTTCCTATAAAGTAATATATGGGTTCCTTGGACAGCATGGCATAGCCATTAGAGGAAAAGGGAAAGAATTTAGATCCAGAGTGAGTAAGTAGTTGGGCATAGTGGTGCACATCTATAATCCCCATTATCTGGGAGGCTGAAGCAGGAGAATCACAAGTTTGAGACCTGTGTGGGAAACTTAGGAAGACCCTGGATCAAAATATATTTTTAAAAAGGGCTGAGAATGTAGCTCAGAAACAGAATCCTCCAGTTCAAGCACCCCCTCCAGCCCCCCTCCCCCCMCACACACACACACATTCCCTGTACAGAGTTTGGACAAGTATTAGAACAATCATCAATATATGTTTCTTCCATGCCCCTACCTCACCCAGAGTTGCACTTAAATATTTTGGGGGGGGGAAATATATATATATAATATATATTATATATATATATATATAATATATATGTATATATATTATATATATACACACACACAAATATATATAAATAATATTTAGAAACTATGCTTTAACAACATCTTTTTTTTTTTTTTTGGTGGGAGGAATTAAATATAAAACTTCCCGTAGTCAGAATAACTTTTCTCCTGACTCTAAATATAGTTTCTTCAGTGCCCTCACGTTTCTGACAGATGAGATTCATTGGCAATTTTGATAGGTGACAATTATTTAAAGAGGGAATAGAATTTGATAAGAAGAAAAGTACTCGCCCTCATACCCTGAGATTAGAAGTCTATTAGTTTCTAAGACAGTAAATATAAAATTCTCAAAGAAGAGAGCTCAAGGGGCTGGAGTTGTGGCTCAGTGATAGAGCACTTGYCTAGCATGTGTGAGGCACTGGATTCAATCCTCAGCACCACATGAAAACAAATAAAATAAAGGTCCATTAACAACTAGTATTTTTAAAAAAAGAAGAGAGCTGTAATGTTTACCTTTTTGTAAATCCTCCTTAAGTGACTTGACTTGCAAAAGCAAAGGGCTAATAAAATAAAAAACAAAGATGTGAGAGACCATAAGCAGTAATTCCCCAGCTTTCTTCAACCCCCACAAAAGATAAACAAATCACTCTTGGACATACTATAACTTGTAGCACTATGAGAATTCCATTAGAAACAAAGAAACTGTACTTGCAGGAAAAGAAATGGAAAAGTGCAACATAATCTTTCAGAGATGTCATCTCAGCTTTAAAAATAGAAAGAGTGGACCACTTTAAAAAAAAAAAAAA